CCAGCACTGTTTTTCACAGCTAGCCTGAAGGCAAAGAGAATTAGTTGCATGGCTTGAAAATTGCACGTGGACCACAGGCACAGGACACCCAGGTGCATTAGCTGTGCTGGAAGTCTTCACACACTGCTGGGAACAAAGGAAGGGAATAAAGATCCCCAGGGAAATTGAAAGAGGAAGGAAAGACCTCCACAAAGAGCTATGAGACAGCACAAAGTTCTGCACAGTTTGACAGAGGGTGCTTTCAGGGATGGGATGCTCAGGCTGGTCCTCCTGTAAGGCAGAGGAGTGCACAGACAAGGATACCGGGGATGAAAGGAGGCCCTAAAGAACAGAGCAGAAAGGTTGGGACACCTCAGCTTAGGATAATGCTCCCCTATGGGGCACTTTACAGCAGCGATGCTATCAGAGGCCAAGGACAGATCTGCAGCTAAACACACACACAAAAAGAGATGGGAGCTGCCGGAGCGCCAGCCAAGACTTCCCTCGTGCCACACCAATGAGCCTGTGCTGGGGCCTGGGCTCCACAGCACCTGAGGGACCAGGGAGGCAGGCAGGTATCAGAGCCAGGATGGAGGAAGAAAGGTGGAAAGATGACAGGGACACAAAGGCTCCTACAAAGTGAGAGGCAGAAGGAGAAAGAGAAGATGGTGCTACACAGAGAAGTGAGAGGATGGGAATGAGAGGAAACACAAGAAAGGAAGAGATAACCAAATACCAGAGCTGACCAGCAGCCACCAACTGTGCCCCTTCAGGCCACATGAGAACTGCTGAACTTGCCACACAGCTAGGTTCGGACCCAGAGGAGTAGTGCTGACCTGCTGCCTGTGAAGGGAGAGTTGTGCTGCCTCCTATCCCTGTCTGTGGCAGGGAAGAGGAGAGCGCAGCACGGGTGCAAGGCATGGAATAGGTGGTGCCATGTGAAACAGTCACAAGGAGATGTGCAGCAGAGCAGTCACAGGTCCAGGTGGCGCAGCCCAGCAAGACAGAGCTCTTCTGCTCCACCTGCTCCTAGTTCAACTCCCTCAGCAAGCAGAAACAGGTAGAGGTACAAAATTTGCTCCTGACACCTTGGGAAGTGATCAAGTACAAGACAGCTGATCCATAGCCCGCTGTGCATAGGAAGCGCTGGTCATCAGAAAGCTGTTGCTATTGTTTTTCAGCTCTCATGCCAGTCCCAACACTCCCAGAGAAGGTAAAAGATGCCCTAGAAAAAGGTATGCAGCAGTGACAAGTGTGACTGTCCCCAGCAAAGCAGAAATAGGGCTCTGCCCATTGCCCAAGGGGCATGTGGAGCCCGAAATGTGCACATACAAGGGAGGGAGCAGACCCAGCCCAGACCCTGGGAGCAGGGACAGGTCTCGGTCACCCCAAACCATCTGTCAAAAAGAGGAGGAAGCTCTCCCTTGAAGGCACTCACAAGCCAGGCTGAGAACTTACAACTGGGGGCAGGGGAGGGAGAAGGCGGAAGGAAGTCAGTAAAATCATCAATACTGGAGTAGGATCTGGTGTAAGCATAAAATGAATCATTGGTTCTACACTGAAGACTTGTGTAAGAGCCTCAGAAGGTGCCACTGGGTCTTGTGTCCCTTCTCTAATTCTCTGGCTCTGGGACCCACTTTTCCATATACCGCTTCTCCTTTTGGGCCAGCCACCATCAACCCAAGAGGGAAATGTCACTGGGTAAGAAGTGGTGAGGGAATACAAAAACTCACACTCATGCACCTGGGAGATGATAGAGAACATTTGGTATTTCCTTCAGAGAAAGGGAATCTTTATTTGGCCCGTGGGGATGGTAGGAGAAGGGAGATGAGGGAAATCAACTAAAATGGAATGATTTGAATGTGCAAATACATCAGTGGCCACCAGGGTGGGTCAGACAGGAACACACACAAGACACAGGTGGATTGCACTGATCACCATTTCCAAGCAGCTCAAAAATAAAACAACAAAAAAAGCCCTGCACCAGTTCTATCGTACCATTACTAAGTACCAAAGCAACCCTCCCAGAGTCAGTGAGACAGGCTCGCTTGGTTAGTGAACCGCTTCCGTGGCAGGCGGGCGAGCGTCAGTGCTCAGAAGGCATGCTGGGGTAGGACTCTCACACGCTCCTGTTCCCCACCTCCTATGGCGCCCTGCATCTCCAGCCTGCTTAAACGCTCCAAGCTTCTTCCAAGAGCTTCTTCCAGCTGTTCCCGGAGCTCCTGGACCCCCTCCAGCTCCACCTGCAGAGTGTGGTCTCTCGCAGTGCTAAGCAGACATGCCGCACAAAAGGGAAGAGGGTTAGACAGGCTGCAGCAAGTCCACACCAAATTGGCCCCTCCATCCGGGACCGTCAAGCACAGACTCTGCACGCTCCCCAGGCAGCTCAGCCACCTCTTGCCTCACCTCTAAACCTCCTTAGAGTGCAGCCATCCCCAAAAAAGGCTCCAGCCCATGGTAGGAAACTCCTAGTCACAGCTGTTCTTCAGTACTTACCCAAGCACTCCACTTATGTGCTCCCTTGCTATCAGGTAGCTCAAATATCCCAGAGGCTGCAGCCCCATGAAGGGCAGGGGATTAGTGCAGAGGACAGAGAAATGCCGGCCATACTGCGCTGCAGGACAACCGCCTGGATAAGCACCTAGATAGATCTTTATCAACCCAACAGTTGGTTGGGAATTTGACAGCAGCCTCTGAAAGGTGGCCAAGTGTGGGTGGGAAGCTGAGCCGGGAAGGGATAAGGGAAGGGAACAGATGGAAATCCCAGGACCTGAACAAGAGGTGGCAATGGGGGGAGTTTACATAGCATTTAAAGCTGGCCACTGCAGCCTCTTCAGGGGAAGGGGGCAGCCTAAAACCTGGACTCCCACAGCCACATTTGTCTGGTTCTTTGCCCAGACTCCCTCTTTCCCACTGAGGGCTCTCAGAATTGCAGAACGATCACTGCTTCAGGAATGGCTCCACTGGACTACACACGCCTGCCCCAGCAGTGGAGCAGGGCAGCACAGAGCCAAGGCAGCCTCACTTACCTGTCTGGGTGCGTGTGAAACTTTACCAGGCTGCCATAGAGCTGCCTCTCTGCCTGGAGAGCCTCATTTAACCGATTCCTTTCTGCCACCAGCCCTTCCAGCATCAGTAACAACTGCTTGGAGAGACAGACAAGATACAACACTTAGAGACAGAAATCGAAGGAGGCTTCTGGCTGCCCCAGAGAAACAGGGGCTTCCCCTTCCCCTCTTGCTTATGTCCAAGTGATCAACCTGATCACTGTTACCCCTGGACTCCCAAAAGACTCTGCCCTAGAGACAAGTGCTAAAGGGAACCAATCCTCTCCTTCTTTGTATCCTCCCTAGTGTATATTGCCAGCTTCCAAGAACAAGCACATCTCAACATATCCAAAGACTAAAAAGAAAGCCTCATAACTTAGCAGAACCAGCAGAAATATAAACACATCCAAGGTTGCCCCGCACGGCACACTACCTGCTGCCTTCTGTTTCCAGTAGCCTCTTGTCCTTGTGACTCTGCTATGGCCACTTTCTCCCGAAGCACCAGCACTTCTTGTGTCAACCTTTCTATGGCTGGAATTTCTTCAGGATCCACCAGCTGCATCTGCAGATCCTGAAAACCAAGAGCACAAGGGCTCAGTGAGAAGGGATCAATAACAAAGGACAGCTAGACCTTCATAATCCTCCCTGGAACACAACTGCCGAAAGTTTCCAGTGTTTGGAAAGACCTAGGTCTCCTAAGAAAGAAATGCCAAAGCACACAGGGTATATTAGGCACAGACAACAGCCTGGAGCAGGAACTGAGGAGGGACACAATGCGCTTTGATTAAAAGACTCTCAAAGAAGGGTGTTTGGTACACAAGGAGCAAAAAGCCAAATAATGCCACTCTGGGGGTTTGGGGCCTTTGCCTTCTGGCCAAAGTAACACAGAGGGCTGTGGGCAAACTAGCAGCAATACCACCCACAGCCAGCCAGCCACATTATTCTGAAGAGGCCCCTTGCTCCTTAGCAGAGAGTACCCACTTGTGGCTACCACAGAAAGCCTGCAGCTTGGTTTCTGTGTCTTGCTACTCGGTGTGAGTGAGCAAGCATGAGGTGCAGGACGTGGGGGAAAGAACAGACTTGTTTGCAGCCTTCCCAGGTGGAACCAACCCAGCACAGCGCGTCATCTCACCTTGATGAGGTCCTCTTTGATCTGGATGGTCCTGGTTAAGGACTCTATATCCGAGGCCTGCACCTGCAGCTCTTCCTCCTGCGTGGCCATGACAGACTGGAGAGCAGTAAGCTCCCGCTAGGGAGGGAAGAGAAGTCAATGAAAAAATTTAGCAAGCCAAAACCCCACTGCAAGCTGCTGTCCCATTTCTCTCACTGGGGGTACCCTCACAATAGGGGGATCCAAAACCTCCAGTGAGCCAAATGGTCTCCTGTAAGCAGATCAGCACAGGCACAGGCTCCATCACAAGCTCACCCTGCTTTCCCTTTCTTTCTTTGCCATTAGTTCCAGCTCCTCTTTGGCATTAACAAGATCCTTCTCCAGTTCTGCCGCTGATGTCATAACTGCAAAGACAGCTTGGTTACTGCAGGGTTACCATGTGTCAGCTGCTCCCTCTGACCCCAGGCTTAGACAGAATCCCTCTTTAGCAAGATAGGTCCACAATGCTTGCACTCCCCATCACACTGCCTCTTAGTAAAGACTCTTCTTCCCTGCTTGATCCTTAAACAGTAGCCCAAGACAACAAGCAACATCCCAGGCCTGCTGTCCCACCCCTGGCAAAGTTCAGGTGGCCTGGCCCCAAGGCAAAACCCAAACTAGTTGCACTTGTCTCAGCCCAGCCTGAACCATAGAGTCAAAACCCCTTCACGGGACAGCATCAACTCTTCAGTGGAAGCACCTCATCTCAAACCCGACAGCAGCCTTTTTCTTTCCCATACTCCCATCGCCCAGACATCCCTGAACCATCACCCAAAGAGGAGGCACAGCTTTATTTCAAAATACTCACTCTTGCTCAAAGCTCTTTTCTCTCTCACAGTTTCTCAGGTAACCATGTTTTCCCCACAGCAAAAAGCCCTGGTAATGTTTGGGGACCTCGAAAGAAGCTGTCACCACACTCACCTCCCTCTGTCCTGCAGCTGCTGTCCCCCTGTGGAGGTCCGGCAATGGCTGTAGCTCCACAAGGTCTTTGCAGTATTTCCTGAAAACATAAAAGCCTCCAGGTTTGCACCTTTATGGGGAACCAAGCACTCGCAGCTTCCCCAGAGCACCAGGATTGCAGCAAAACTGCTGGATGCTTTGTTAATGTGCTGAAATGTGAGAAATCAAGGAAGGGGATCTATCCAGGCAGCGGGGATGAGTGTATTGCGCCCAACCTAGAAGCTGTATGCTTGTGCAACAGGGCTCTAGCCTTGTGTCATTTGGCACTAGGAGGTTGCTGGCAGTAAGTGTCTTCATAGCAACAATTAAACAGGTTTCACTCAACTACAGCAAACCCATCTTTTAACTGGAACTCTACAAAGACCTACATCTCCATCCAAGGATGTGGCCCAGAGGGACCATGCAGGAAGGAAAAAGCAGAGCTTGGCCCGTATATGCATCCCTGGAAGTCTCTAGAGCTCACTTTGATCCTGAGAATAGAAATGAGCAACCTGTTTGCAGCTGCCTAAAAACATTCAACATGTCAGCTCACCAATAAACCATTAACAGCTGCTCAAGCAGGAGCATGGCATATGTAGCCCCAGAGTTGTATTCAGCCTCAAAGGGGTTTTTAGCAAAGCTGCTTTAAAAATACCAACTCCAATTGTGGAAGAGACAGCAAACAGCCAGCAGGCTCTGCCAAGAATTAGTGGAACCTAAAATTAACTCTCTTGTCCCCTCCAGAATGTGACAATGTCAGGGAGGGGATTACAATACAGAGAGGCAGCCCAGCCCAAGGAAGGACTGGGTCAATGCTGGAAGGTCAGAGGGTGGATTTCTTTCATACTCTCACGTGCCCTAAGGACTCAAATACTGACTGATCAAAATGCAAGGAGACACTGAGTGACAAAGGCTGGTGGAATCAAGATCAGAACATCTAGGCAGCATTTCTGCTCCTCAGTTTCTTCTCTTCCTCCTATAGGAAATCTCTTCCCTAATCTCACTTTCATTTCTATCATTCTCTGTGGCGCTCCCCTCTCTCCCATTTCCTCCTGTTGCAATCAGTTCTTTCCAGAGCCCCAACCCACAGGCAGAGAAACACAGCACACAATTCTTACTTGTATGGGCTGTTTGTCCTTCTTCAACAGCCTGGCACCAGCCAACTTGGTCACAAGAGGCTCCTTCCCCAACAGATGTTGGCGTAGCAGTTGTAACTCACAGCTCCTTTCAGCCAAAGCATGCGCCATCTTCTCAGCAGCCGTCTGATTGAGCAGGAAAAACAGGCAAAGGCAGGGCTGTG